TATAATTCAAAAATATCTTTTTAATGATACCAGTTTAATTACAAATTACTGAAACATGACCAGTACAAATTACTAAACTCTAAATCATCCAAAGAATCATTCATTTAAAGGTTCCTGGCTCTTTCAACAGATGTAATGGGCAGTATTTCTCGTTCATACTTTGTCGCTAAAACCGTATACGAAATATTTTACTTCCGGAATTTAAAATCAAAACTTCGATTATAATTTCGCTATTTTAAAAGGTTATTGCGTCCTGTGTGTTTAGTCTTTTCAGAAAAGGATCCATCAGTAACATAGTTTTAAAACAATTCCTTATTACTGATACATTTTAGAAATAGGGCTTTCAATTTCAATCAATTATATTTTCATTAATCATAAGACATGAGCTAGAAATATTTTCAAATTAATTTCTATCGTTATGGTTCTGCAATAAAAAGCGTTACACCTTCATGCACTATAACGCTCCTTACTCCAAATCATTGGTTTGGATATTAATAAGAATGTTGTTTCGACGAGAGATTTGCAAACAGAATTTTTAGTTCTTGAATATAAGAAATGCAATTATAATTAATTATAATTTTAACAGAGGCGTAGCGAGGGTACATAGCTCCCGGGACATAGTATTTTTTTGCGCCCCCCTAGTCATATTTGCTTACTTATAAAATTCACCAGAAAATAAATAATACAGCAGATGTTCTTGTGTTTTTTTCACATTATATATGTTTATTTACAAACAATATATATATTTTTTCAAATACAATTAAAAATTACTATTTATTAACCTTATCATAACAGAATTTATTTGCCAACAGTGGTTGCACAAATCTATCTAAATACATAAGGAATAGAGGAAAGATAGCCAAAATAAAATTTTACTAATTTCCTTAAAATAACTAATTAAGCAAATTTTAATTGCTTAATTGTTAAAAAAATCTACTTGAAATCAATAATGTAATCAAATTTTAATAAAAAGATAAATTAGCCATAATTAATTTGAAAAAGACTAAAATTTAAGTGATGCAGTGTAGGGTTTTACTAGACAAATAATTATAATGGAGATTGGATTTAGATTAAACAAGTATTTTCCTAGCCTTTATGGTAAAAAAAATTAAACAATTACTTCATCAAAATTAATTTAAAAAAATGCCTTTTCATGCCAAGAAATGCAAGATCACATAGGCGATCTTGCCCTATGTTTGCTCGTGAAAACGAAAGAATTAATTTCAATTTGCTGAACGAGAGTTCGCAACTAGCAATCGACACTGAAATTGTTAAAAGTATCTGAAGTGCAGTTCTCAGATTTGGAAAAACAACTTTCCGTGCGAAATTACAAATGTTCAAACTTCTATTGCAGTTTTTGGACGAACATCTTCCCTATTACGCAGTAACATTTTGCAATCACATATTTCTGCATGAAGTTCCGGTCCATCGAAATCTGTGTTGAACAATCTGCTTAGATTTTTACAGCTTATTTATACATCATTGTCCAAGGGTTTATTGAAAAACTTTTCTACATTCAACAGAAATCCAAATTTGGAAGCGAGATCATTCAAGCGAGTGAAGCGCGATTTATTTTCCTGGTGAATAGCATTGAGTACACTTTTCATGATAGGATCAATTTCCTCCTCCGCAGATAAACCAACGTCTCTAGCAAGCTCTCCTGACATTTTTCATCTTCTTCGTATACGGGTTTGAATTCCAATTCCCCATTTGTCAAATATTAATTTTGCTTTTAACGTAGGACTACGTTCCTCCCATTGGTGTGTCGGGAAGAAATTTGACACACACGCCAAAACGCCATAAAAAACGTTGTTTGGGAGATCCCCTATATCTCGGTAACTACACATGTTAGAAACGTAACTAATGTCTTATTTTAGAGATAAAGGGTAACAACAGAAGTTACAATAAAAAATTGAAAATCGGAATCGTAGTTCATTGACTACCGAGTCGCAAAATTGGGCAAAAATACGCATGAATTGGTGACGCGATCCTCTATATCTCGGTAACTACATACGTTAAAAACATATCTAATGTCCTATTTTTGAGATAAAGGGTAACAACAGAAGTTACAAAAAAAAATGAAAATCGGAAAAAAAAAGTCACGCTAGTAAAGTAGTCCTACGCCTTTAACATCAGCTGCTGTTTGAAAAAGACAGCTTCCCGTCATTTTTTTTAATGGCGTTTTGATACACATCATCTCGAATTTCTGCTATTTCAGTAGTTAAGGCGTTGAGATCATTAAAGGCCTCCCTGAAATTCATTTGAGGATCTTGCAGTCTTTTCTGGACACGATACATTTTTCTCAAAATTTCATGCCAAAAATGGATTAAAGTATATTTTGTAGCAAAATCATTGCTTCACTTCTGGTGTCTTTCGTAGCATTTATGTCCTCTGACAATTCTTCTAGTTAGTCTGCTAATTTTTCTAATTCACAGACAATAGCATTAACCGCATCAGCTCTAGCACTGCAGCTGGTTTCGGATTCGTGTTTGATTGTCTTTTTTTAACCGCTTAACTTAACAGCCCGAGAATATTCGTGCATCGAATTATCGAAATTTTAGTCTTAAACTAAAATTGAATCATTAATTAGCTTTATAATTTGATACAAAAAATATATAGGATCCATAAACATCTTAAGTATTCTATGCCTTCTTAGATGAATGAAAACGACAGCCCCTTTCCAAAACAGGAGGGGTCATTTTATTAGATAGCAAAGAAAACTATTCAGTTAAGTGGTTAAAGCCCTCTTTAGAGCTTCCCACTCCAATTTTGAGCGCGAAAAGAATAGATAAATGCTCTCAAAAACTCCCTAAAAGTTTATAACTCGAGGATCTTGCTTCAAGAGCATATTTTTAAGGAAATAATATTTCAAAATACGTCATCAAAATACAGTGTTGAAGATACACATTGGTTTAAAAGTGATGTTATAACAAAAATTAAAATCTGTAGACTTGAGACCTTATTTTTATTGAATTAAATATATGGGAATAATCGAGGTATTGAAGGTCATAATCTTTGCAAAATTCACAAATAGGAATAAAGCGCTGATTAAACCTTTACTCTTTCTATTGAATATGAATTTAAAGAAAATAAATTTTTGACATTTCAGAAACATTATTTCAAATTAAATAAAGACATCTAGATTAGAATACTTCATTCTAGATAATTAAGATACGAATTTAAGGCTAATATTTGAAAATATTTCGAATTTTCATGAAATTTATACTATTTTGTTTCCTGTTTGTAGTTCAATGAACTCATGAAATTGGCATGATGTTCAATGAAATGTTTTCTATAAAATATTATTCAGCATTAAAATGTTATTTTAATTAAAACTGACTTTATTGTTCATAATTTTTAAAAAAATGGGTCAGCTACGAAAACAGTTTACGATAGCTCTCCGTGTGATATACGCTATGATACGGAGAGCTATCGCGCGCAGTTACCGTGAGCGTGAGCACCATGCCACTCGCCAAAAAAGTTAGTAACACTTGACCGGCCATACAAGATGACGGAAATCGTGAACTGTATTCAACCGGCTTGAAAATGCACACGATGTTGACGGAAAATGGTCAGCAGCGAAAATTCAAACCAATCGTGTGTGACTTTGACGGTGACGTAGTTCGCCTTCCCCGATACCGAAATCCTGTACGGTTGTCTCAATGCGTCACGTGCTGCAAACTTTTCTGCCGAGTGGCATTGTGCTCACGCTCACGATAGCTCTCCGTAAAACACAAGGGTCCGAGAGATACACTCTTCCCCATGCTGTTGTTGGAGTCGCTGGTCAATTTCAGACGACGGGACATTTTCTCCGCCGAGGAATTTGATCATAATGCATTCTTTCAAGCTCCGCGGTTCCTTCTGTTCGCACATCACTAACAATTACCAGACAGGATGGAAAAGGTTCCAACCCAAGCAGGATTGAGGATGGGCTCCCCTCTCTCAAGGCCGTACAGAGGCTGCGAGGTGCGGCTTGTTTCTTATCAAGTCAGTCCCGGTCATATTTGAGTCCACTTGTAATTTTTATATGAAATCATTCTCTTTGCGACAAGAGCCCATATGCCCTGACGTTCACATAAAATTAAGACAAGTATTCATTAATGTGAGCAAATGAAATCGTCAAATCACAAAATTGCTTGGGATTTTTTTTAAAAAAATTAATTTTGATACTTGTCAATTGAAAGAGCAATACCATCGTAATAAAACACTCGTGTATAAAAAATAACCGTTTATTGAAAAAATGGTAGTAACAGATAGTTGCTGTGAATTGTGTTAGATGAGAACGACAATCGGTGGTTTATTTCACATTGGGGTCAATAGTGTAACCAAGGAATCTTTGGAGCAGCAGCGGAACTTGGGGTGGAAACAAGCTAAAAGAAAGAAAAAAAAAATGTAGCAATAAAAATGGTTATAGGATTTAGGATAAAACTTTCACAATAATTTCGCAAAACAAAGCCAATTTTTAAAAACGCATATTTACTTGTACACTTACAAGTAGAATTTTTTTTTAATTTTAATTATTTTCTACATTTTGGTCTTTAAGTTACAATTCATTATTAAAACATTATGGACTCTTAAAATCAATTTTTTCTCAAATTCATCACCAGGTAGCGTACCGATACCAAGTACGGAATCAAATTTAAAATTAATTGATCAGCTGATACACTAAGTTCTGAAAATACTAAAATAGAGTATTGCCATCGAAAATACACACTTGCACAAAATTGAAATATCTAGAACAGCAGGAACCGAGGGAAAATTCGATTCAAAATTTCCATTTTTACAAACGTGAAAATAGTCAAAATAAAATAGATTCAATAGAAGCATGTAAAAAAAGTTTTGTAAATTTTTATAGAATTTCACAAATACTACATCAGAAGCTATACATCATACATCAATATCATCATACATACCAACGACAGTCATTCACAAAGTCCCAAACACAGTTTCTCTTTATTTACCATAAAAAGTTTCCGACGAGTCGGTGGGAAGAAAATAAACTTGCCACCCTGAGAATCGAACCTGGCGCCTCCTGGAGGAAAGCCAGGTACCATAATCACTAGGCCAGAGATAGGAAAACTTACGATTTGAAAGAGCCAAAGATTAGCGGCGCAACGATTAAGATTTCTTTTGAGAGCCAAATTTTTTCAAGAACCATGTTTTCAGGAGTCGGTTTAACCCCTTAACTCTCACATCTGTCATGCTGACATCGAATTATTGCATTTTTAGGCTTATAAACTAAAATTTAATCATTAATTAGCTTTATAATACGACAGAAAAATTACGTAGAATCCATAAGCATCTCAAGTATTCTATGCCTTCTTGGATGAATGAAAACGACAGCCCTTTCCAGAACAAGAAAGGTCATCTTGTTAAATAGCAAAGAAATGCGCCTCGTAAGGGATTAAACTAGTTGCTAACATTAAATAAAACTAGATATTATAATAATCGTACGTAGTAGAAATAGATTCGTGGCAGAGCCGCACTCAAGCGGCTAAAGAACCGCGGTTTAGGGATGTCGGTTATTGCGAAAATAACCGGTTTTCGGTTATTCTGGTTTTTTCACCTCCGGTTTAACATGGCGGTTATAACCGCTCAAAAGAACCAGTTTTTGAAATAACCGGTTTTCGGTTATTCTGGTTTTTTCACCTCCGGTTTAACATGGCGGTTATAACCTCTCAAAAGAACCAGTTTTTGAAATAACCGGTTTTCGGTTATTCAGGTTTGTTCACCTCCGGTTTAACCTGGCGGTTATAACCGCTCAAAATAACCGGTTTTTGATTTTCGTTTATAATGAAACAGACGCCTTTCGTAGACAGAATTTTTTATTAGTATTGTTTCTGCAGGAAATCAATCCATTCACCAATATTTATGTGTTCATAAAGACTCCTTCGGTCATCCGCCAACAAATAGACGCCTCGAGGAAGCCGTTGTCGTCGATTGGTCTAAGATAATGAAATTCAAAGCTTCATAACTTGGTATATTTTAGTCTAATCGAATCTAAAGTCGAGCCTATCTTCCGATCCGGTTTTATACCCGGTTATTGAATTTTAAAAAACCGGTTATAACCGGGACAAAGAATAAACGAAAAAAAAACGGTTAACCGAAACAAAAAAAAAAAAAATTTTCGGTTAAAACCGGTAGGTTTTTCCATTCCTACCGAGGTTTGCAGATCACTGCACTAGACCATGTGGGAATTATTTGCTTCTCTCTCGTAGAAAAGGGGAAAACATCTTCCGAACGATTGAGTTTAACTTTCTGCTATTTGATATTTTGAGTTGTTTACAAGAACTGTGGCGGCGGTAAATCAGTGACGTAGAGATGGAGAGTGGCGCCCGGGGCATAATATGACTTTTATGCCCCTCTGTTGTCACCACTGGCATCTCAAGAGCGAATGGCACTGGCCATGACATTACTTTTCGACATCCTCATCATATTTGGCTTTTAAAAGAGACATAAATGCTAACGTTTTGTCTCCATGACATTCCTTATTCCTTCCTTATGACTTCCTTAATACTGACGTCCAGTGCATCTACACTGACGCTACTAGCACAAATACGCTAGCTACTAGCATGGTGTAGTAGCCACTGGCACAAATGATAAAAATTGACATCATCATTTAGATGATAAAAAATGACAGTCATGTTTATTATAAAAATACAGAGCATGTTAGTAATTGGTCGAAGCATTCAGTCTTCTCAATCAAAAAGAAAAGATTTTGTTCAAATCGACTTATAGCAGGAATTAAAAACAAAGTGGAACCAAGGGCATCAAAGAATAAATATACAGGGTGACCGCCACTAAAGTCCCTTACCACCCTTTTAACTACCGAATGGCTGCAGCTATCTTCATAAGAGTGGTGTCTAGGCATGGTAAAGTGACTATGCGCTACTGGATGAAACCACTTACAGCGCCACCGGGTGGAAAACGGTGGAGTTAGCGTTATCTCTAAAGCAGTACGAGTAGAACCCCGCTAATCCGAATTTATTTTATTTTCGAAAATTATATGTAATTGAAATTATTACCTGAAAAGATTTAAATATGCATACTAAAAACACAAAAGTACTTTTTTAGCATGCATAATTTTGTACACATTGCAGAAACTAATGTAATTCGCCGTAAGATAAGGTCACTTCATACAGGAGCACATCCATTATTCTAATGAAAAGGGGAGACATATTCTCTTTCTATTGCTTTTGAATAAAAGGATTCAAGAGATAGTAGTACCGAGTACTTATAACTTACATTTTTTTAGCACACATGTTTTTCTTTTCTATTTTTATCGGAATTTCGGATAATCCGAATTTTTTGTAATCCCGACAGGCACCGGTTCCAATTAGTTCGGATTAGCGGGGTTCTACTGTAGAGGGAAAAGGTGAATTACAAAGTTGTAGAGCATCATCGATTTAGTACAAAAAGACACCTTATGGTCATTCATGCTTAAAACGCACATTTGTTTGTTTGCGGCTTCCGAAACTGTTTCGTCACGTTCACCTGATCCGACTCCAATGGACTTTTTCCTGTTGGGATACCTCAAACAGCAGGTGTATGCGACCCCTCCGCCAACATTGCAGGACCTTCAACGACGCATTACGGATGCTTGTGCCAACGTGATACCCGCTATGCTACACCGTGTGCAATGTGAAGTTCAAGCAAGGGTCCAGATGTGCATTGCAGCTGACGGAGAGAAGTTTGAACATCGAAAATAAAAGTGTCTTGTGACAAATAGTTGTTTTTTTTCTTTCTAAGAATGTTTTGTCACGTGTCAGTGTAGTTTAAGCGTTCTGTTCTAAGCATTTACGTCCTCAAGGTGTAGTTCTGTACTAAATCGATGATGATCTACAACTTTGCAATTCACTTTTTTCCTCTATCCCGTACCGTTTTAGAGATAATAACGCTAACTCCACCGTTTTCCACCAGGTGGCTCTGTAAGTGGTTTCATCCAGTAGCGCATAGTCACTTTACCGTACCTAGACACCACTCTTATGAAGATAGCTGCAGCCATTCGGTAGTTAAAAGGGTGGTAAGGGACTTTAGTGGGCACCCTGAATATACAAGAAACAGTCTAGAGCAATCAATAAGTGAGAACCAACCAGCCATGGGATGCCCTTATTTCTCTATTCATTCTGAACGCAACTCCCCCTCCGCACACGGGTGATTTATCGACCGCCCCGAATATTCGTATTTGATGTTTATGGCTCAACGCACTGACTGGAAAGCCAAACTCGTTGGAATTCCAACCTTTCACCCTGCCTACGACAATTTTCATCAGGTTTTCACATTCACGAAACGTTTTGGCACAATGTGATCCAAAACAATGGATTGGACTACTCGTGAATGTCCCACTTAATCCACGATTCTATCCATTTTTAATGCAACGTCGCGACCTTTTAAAACGAAAAGCGAAAGTTAGTAACTGTTCACATGTTTAAAAAAAGATTGGAATAAAATTCATAAGGAATACGAGAATTTCGCATTCCGAAGCTCGTTATATACTCATTTGCATTCTTTTTACTGTACTGACCAGAAATTTGAGAAATAAACACCTACCTGATAATGGGTTAAGCTTAATTATATTGACAACTTTTCCTTATACGAATTTTATGAAAAATGTAACAAGTTTTTGAAGGTCTCGATATTTTCGTTACGAATTTTAATGCTTTTAACATTCGGTGCCTACAACTTTTAAATTCTTTGCCGTATTGATGTTAGTTTTGTGTCATGCATCATAGTAAATGGAGTTTCTGCAGTCTGCATTATCTTCAGATTAATAAATAAAGGAAGACACAGAGACAGAACTTCAATCCATACCCCCTGTGGCTATAAATCGGTTATTCATTAGTGGAGACAGTTAAACGAATAAATAAGGCGCCCCCAAATGAAACTGAGACTGCGGTTCTATAGCATTCTATTCTATTCGTGCATTATTCCACGTGGCAGAACTTGGAGATTTTTTTTGGCAGGCGTGTGTACCAGGAAATATCCGATATGTAGCACTCAGTATTGGAGAGTCTTTGAGTGAAAGAGGAGCCGCAGTTCAAGTAGCGTCTTGCCGTGTATTCCTCTACACAGGATCGGACCTCAACCCAGTTTTTATTGACGGGAGGCATTACCCTTGCAGCAGTCGCGTGTATGCAGGAAATACTTATATAGATCTTTTATAAATTTAAGCGCAATTTTTATTTATATAATCTGCGTTTAGTATGGATTGACATAAATAAAAAAGTTGCATTTATTTTTATAAAACAATATATAAATACGCAATACGATGCACACTATAAGCATCTTGCATACGCGCGACTGCTGGAGGGTTAATCGAACAGACATTTGCATTCGAATGAAATTTTGCTTCAATTTTGGACATGCCAGGACCAAGACAACTGCGCTCAATCATTAATACAAAAATTACTGCACCAGTAGTTCGGCGATTAGAAATACTGCAGCCAACATAAAAGACTATCGCGCCTTTTAATGCTTCGTTCTTCCGGCTCTTCTCTGCAGCTAATCGGCGAAAATGTGCGTCCTTAAATCAGAGGGTCTCTTAATCGCAAATGTCTACCTTTACAGTATACACGCTCCAAAATTCTAATGTTCACTCGCCGCAAAACTTGTGCTATAATACAATGGCGATAGATAATTCTACGCACCAGAATTTAACACATCCACGCCGGCGCTGCAATTCATGTTTCTCTCCCATGGGCGGACACTCTAAGAGCGCTTAGCTTTATTTAACATGCGGCTCCGAAGTAAAGTGAAAGATTAAATTTTACAGCAATGATAACCATTGCTGGTTTTTATATTTTTACTACTACTGCCGTCATGTTTTTTCCAGCACTTTGTTTGAAATATTTTAAAAAATTGTATAGAAGTAAATAAACAATTATATTTATAATATGGAATTGTTATGTTTATATTATCGAAATTATATATGTTGTTATTTTTATAATATTGAGTTGAAGTAAAATCCTACTATTTCAATTAATATACGTTAAATGCCCTTTATTTTAATTTTTAACTATATGGAAATTTTCCTAGTTTATCCTTTAATTTTTAACTATATGGAAATTTTCCTAG